CTCAATCAGTCATTCAAATAGTCTATCAAATACATATATTACAGCTATGGCTAGCCTGCAAGCTGTTTTTCTATACCAACAGTCAAATAAATATTTTTCCAATTTTCTAAAATTCCATTTGTTTCTGGCTTTTACCATAAAATTGCAATGCAAAATTGCAGAAATTTCAAATGTTCGACTTTATGCGCGGAAATAATGCTAATTTCTATCGTTCGATTCGTTATTACAGCTAAAAATTTGAATTCGATGCGCAATTTTCGCGAATTTTGCAATTATTAAAAATCATTGGGAATTCATTAAGAATAAATTGCAAGCTAAAAATAACAAATAACAAGCAAAAGCCGAAAGGGGGAAAATCCACAAATTGAAATGTATGCGAATTAGCTACACCCTGACCAAGCAGCAAAATGTTAATAAACTATGAGCAGAGTGAAGACTTTACTTTGTGCATGAGATTATGTTAATGGAAAAGTAGAGACGAGGGAGAGGGCGAGGGAGAGGGATAGGGAGATAGAGTGACTGAATGTAGGCAAGCTGCATGCCTAAGTGCTGATGCCACAGGCAAGAAGAAGAGAAGAAAGGAACAGAAATTGTGGGGGAAAATATATAAAATGAAGGGAGGAGAAAAAAAAATGTTGTTTACCTTTTAGCGGCATTCGCGGCGACAAAATGAAATCAAAACACGAGCTGTTCGCCTAGTTCAAACACCTCGGGCCAGAGCAGCACCCCAAGTTCTTGTTATGACCTTATAGCGTAGACTGCCAGCCTGCCACGCCCCCGAGGCTGGCTCATTGCCTGGTGTTATGCTAAATTTAAAGCATGTTGCGGCTGAGATTAGAATAAAGATGCGGCGCGTGTTGCGACTGGCAGTGCGACATGTTTGCAGTTGCGAGCGAGCAGTGGGCCCCTTGCTACACGCACACATATACATATACATATACATATATATATGCATGTCTATATGTAGGGCTCACATCTGGCGTGGCACATCACACGCGTGCGCGCTTTAATTAGCTGCTAGGCGCAGGCCGTGCGTGAGAGGGGATTTTGCTTAGACGCTGTTGCATGCTGATGTCAAATGCAATTCGTGGACAAGTAATGTGCCAACCACACACACACACACACACACACGCTGCATATATATATATATATGTATAGAGATAGAGCGAGTGTGTTTACCTAAGTTGTCCGCCCAGAAAATCTGTTGCTGTTGTTGTTTTTGTTGTTGTGGCACTGTTTAGATTGCGCCATTTGAAATTGTCGAGATGCTAAACCAAATGTTGATAATCCCAAATTGCAGATACGCATGCAAATCGAATGACCGCACGAACCACACGGACCACACCACAAATCAAACACAATCGCCCAAAATGACAAGTTCAAAATTAAGCAAACACTCGCCTCGATTTAAGCAACTGCCGAGCTTGAACAACTAGCTGCAGTTGTTTACCCAATAAATCTTGAGCTATATTTCTACAATCATTACACTCTCTGCGTATTTTTGGATAGACGGAAATCTTAGGCCAAACAACAAAGTCAGTAATAATTATCTTAATATTAGCTTACTTAATATCAAGTTTTTAGCAAAAATCAAAGAGTTTTAAATATATAATTAATTAAATTGATTAATATTTTTGTGTTAGGTAAAGTTTTGCATAATAGAGCAAGCTGATATTATTGCCAATGGATTTATTTATTTTAAAATTAAAACTACAATATATATTTAATGTGAAGAAATATATATTGTATTTAACGAAGGTGGCAAATTTTTTAATAAACAAATTTAACAAAATTTATTTCTGAAATTTATAAATTAAATACAAATGAAAATGTTACATATTTATATTATTTATCTATTTATTATTGTGATATTCTTCTTTTGTCCCTAATATGTTTTAATATAAGCCAAAAATAACGTTTAAGAATTAATAATTTAAGTATTGACCTTTATGTAAAATTTATGTAAAATTTAAACTTGAATTAACAAATTTAAATAAACGTGAGAAAAAATAAAAAAAAAATAAAATAAATCAAAAAATGTATATAATTTATAAAACATACTTTAATTTATTTCATTATATTTTCTCCAACTTGTTAATAAATAAATACAAATGTATAGTAATGATTTATATATCTATCAAATTAAGCAAGTGTAATAAATTAGGCTGAGCTAGAAGCTGTGCTTATATAAGTATTAATTGTAGTTCATTCAATCCGTATAAAATCATACCTATTATATATTTCAATTTATTAATTTTCAACTCAAACTAGCACTGATTAAATTCACATACCTAAACTAAAGATAAAATTTGTTCCCTTAAAAGCTAATCTAACCATCAGAACAGTTTCGCGCACAGAATTTTCCAATTCAAACCCAATTCAGCTTTATATGATGATCCAATAAATCACTCGCACTTTCAACCCGCACTATCGATTACTACCAGTCTGCCAGCTCCACTCTGGATGGCATCGATATCTGCTGGCCAGAATGTCACAATGATGGAAGATTCAGCCGCAAATGAATTTTTTGTGGGGCTAAGCAGCTGCTGCACAGAATGCTTGGACGACAGACTCCACCTCAACCTCAACCTTAACTCAACTCAGCTCAGTTCTACCAAACAGAAGCGAGTCTTAGCCTGGTCAGAAGGTGGGCAACTGCATTTCATTGCTTTTTGGACTGAGGGAAATTGCAATGAGCTGCCCCCAAAAAGCGAATGCATTAATCAAAATCACAAGAGGTGTGGCATGTGCATATATGCTCAAGCATTGATTGGGATCAAATTAATATCCATTTCATCATCATCAAAACTTGCTGTTGAGTGGCCAGCACTTCATCTAAAGCAGACAAATAGAAACCAAACTCACTTGCAGCTCTGCTAATGCATTTCAATCGTTTTTAGGCCAAGAGAAATTGCAATGCCTCGCTGATGCCAATGCATTAATCTAAATATCCTTCGAATGCACCCAAAAAGGTGTGGAATATGCGTAGCTCAAGCATTGATTGGCATAAAATTAATTTAATTTCAAATGCTTGGCCAATGCCGACAATGAGCTGGCTCACACACACTAACACAGTGTCGAGTACCATTCCATTATACTTTTTTTATGGCACTACGTCCTTGGCAGACAGTGAACAATAAAAATGGAGGCCAGGCTTATTGTAAAGCAGCCAAAATCAGAAACAGAATTAGGATTGCAGCCGGATTCGTGTTGCGACTGTTGCAGTTCTGACTTCGCCACAGCCTAGGTTTAATTGTCCGTGAAGGATTTATTTGCTGGAAATTATGATTTATAAGTTCAGCAGCCAGTTGCACTTACATCTAACGCACACACACAACGTATCAGTCGGTTCACAGTTTGTCTCTTCCCATCTCTCTCTCTCTCTCTTTCCCTTTTGCCTTTGCCTGTGGGCCAATTCCTTTTATTGTTTCTGGCCATTGACCTCGTTTCAGCAGTGGGTCATAGGTTAGTGCGGCTGCTCTTCCTGTTCGCCTGAATGGCTCAAGAAAAATGACTGGCATAAAACTAAAATTGAATTGAATTACGTTATGCTTTTAGCCACAGGTGAGGATAGTTCCATTGCAGATTCGAATAGTGAAAACTAAGCAAAAACTAACTAGTTACCCATTTGCAGCTGCAGCATCATCTGGCACCGTCATAAATACCAAACAGATAACTTTGCGGCAGAGGAAAAGTGCTGCTAACGAGTATTTTGAAATTTATGTTGTGGATAAATGGGGAAGTAAACTTCTTTAGGTGATATATTTTGACAACTCTTTTAGGGTAAGTCCCAAAATCGCATTCAAAAAACTGAAACCTACAATGCATAGAATATTAACAGTAATTAAATTTAAATTCATTGCTTCCATCTGTTGTTAAGTAATGGAACTACTGGCTATCAAAAGCTTTTTCCTTAATTCAAAACCAAAGGGAATTTTTAGTTTGCGTGTAATACTTTTCAACTATTTAGTGTGTTCATGAACCTTGGACAGCTTTAAAAGGACTTTCATCAAACCTTTTGTACAAACTTTATCCGTGACTCTTACTAAAAACTTTTATTTAACTTTAGACTCTATCAAACCGAAGAGATATTAAAGTCTCAAGGTTTGTGTCTTGGATTCCGATAAGCTATCCTTAGATTATTATTTTAAAGCTTTTGAAAGCAATTAGTCGTGCAAGCTAGCAACTTAGCAAATACTCAAACCTTTTTTTCTGGTTAACAATGTGAAACAGAACATTTTTGAACTATTATTTTTAATAACCCATGTGTATGTACATGTACATGTACATTGATGTGTATGTACAGCTCTTCGTACGAAGAGATACGCGATACGCTGAGTATCTGATAAAAAATTATGGTTTTCTCAATACATCCACTACGAAGGATCGGGCACAATAATATATTCCGCAGCTATCCTGCCTGTATGTACTGAACATATCAAATTTTGCAGAATTTCTCTTATGCAGCCTTAGTCTAAAGTACATCAATATTATCAACTGTTTTTAAAGCAAACATTAAACGTTATTAACTTTGAGCATGATCATGAAAATTAATTTTAATATATTTTTTCTTACATATTTATACGTAAGTAAATACAACATATGTACCTTTTCCTAGTTTTGTTCTTTATTTATTTATTAACAAGTTTGAGCTAATATAAAATTAAAGCTAGTTTAGGAAAAGCACTAACAGCTTATTAATATTATTATTCTAATTATAATTATATGTGTAAATCATTCTTAACGATGATGGTACATTATAACATTATTATTAAAATTTGTTGCTATTGCTTCACAATTTTCCCAACGTCGCGACGCGTCGCAAGAGAATTTCGAAAATTTGTTAGTTGGAGAAATCAAAGCTACCAATATACAAATATCCCAGTTTTTATGCATGAACAAGTACCTTCTCCACACACGTTTCCCCAGCAGGCAGGGAATTTTTCTCGCTCTCCCTCTCCCAACAGCTGCTCTTCACAGCGCTCTCAGGCAATGCAATGCTGTAGTTCGGGAAACGGCCGTTTGGCGCTGCTGTGTGCCCATTTCGAAGTTGACAACTTCGTGTGGAGCTCGTAGCTAACGGTATATGCACGAAACGGGCCGCAACGAAGCGCTCAATTGTGGCAGCGCCCGTTTTAGGCGAATTTTCGTGTCAGTTCACGTTCGATATTTGTGTTGTTTGGTCGCGGCTAACGGGGCGCACGAAAACAAAACCGAATCGAAGCAGCGCAACGGAACGGAACGAGCGACGCGTCGCGCTTTCTCCATTAATGAAACATCCGCAACAATGGCTCCGCGCGTATGTGAGTGTGCAGTGTGTGAGTGTGCACATGTAGATGAGGCGTAGGCACTTCCAGTTGTTGCACTAAACATAAACAGCAGCAACTATTCAAATCTGACCACAGCAAAAACAACAACAACAGCAGCGAACGGAAGTCAACGGCAGCCGCAGCCAAGTTTAAGTGTTTGCCAAGATTGCGATTTATGTGTGTGCGTGTGTGTTCGCGTGTGTTTTTTGTGTAGCATACGTCACGGGCGCCATCAAGTCGCAACTTGCTAAGAGACGCTGCCTACGGCCAGGCAGCCGCCAATAAATAAATAAAAATAAAATTAAAGGAAAAAGAAATATATATATATATGTAAAAGGAAATTCGAGCTAAATACAAAAAGCCAGCCGAAAGTTTTCAAGTTTCAAGTGCGCTGAATTCCATGTGTTGTGCAAGCGAAATACAGAACTAGCCAAAAGCCGGGATTCTTCTTCGAAACGGTAATTGAGTCATAAATCATCCATAATTAAATTGGGAAACACTTCAATTTCTGGGAGAGATTTGGCAGAGACTAACAATTGGATTCTTAGCCCAAGTTCTGGATAGAAATTATGACCAACCTATGGGTCAAACTGATTGACACCTGCTGCGGCGCGAGACCCTTTAATACATTTGCCGAATTGGCAATATCTAGCTAGCTGGCTGGCTGTCAAGTTTTGGGCCATTTGCCACATTGTTGACAGCGGCAACAGCACAATTAGCCCACAAGTCGCTTTTTGACCCCATCTGACTGCGGGCTCTGCCAATCTGTGTTTGGCCTCAAGTGTTTTGTGTGCGTGCTTTTTGTGAGCTGCATTGTTCTCTGGCCTCCATGATGCGGCTTGACATGATAAACATTTTTCGAGCCGTATTTGGGTTATTTCCAACAACAAAATTGGCATCTGTTTTGAAAAGCAGCATTTTTCTCAGAACGGCTATGAATTGAACCAGAAAAATAAATAGAAGTACAAGTAAATAAATACAGCTGGACGCAGGTATCTCTTATGTCAAAAACGCTGACCTCGCTCGCCACTCGAGACTGGGGAACTCATGTTTTGCATAAATGCCTTGAAACTCATGTTGTTGTGTTTTTGTTGCGTGTGATAAAACCGAAATTTTCCAGGAATTCGACAAGCAAATTGCTCTCATGATGCTGAAATTACTCAGCAGCCGTTGTAAATCAAGATAAGCTTAACTTTCTGAAGTGTTTTTTAATTTGTTCTTGCATCAGTTTGTTGTGGATATTCAATGATTAATATTTCTTGGAATTACTGTGTGGAAATTTCTATAAAATCAAAGGCAGTCGATTTATTTATTTATTTTTTACGACAAAAAATTATAGAAAATATAAATATTTTTATACATTTGTTTATAATTGTTTTAGTAGAAGAGTATTCAATGACTTAACACATTATTTCTCCTTATGGTTTTACATAATTTATTAATCATTAAAAACCGATAAAAAATTATGGATTTCCAAAACATTTTAAGTGAATTAAAAGAGTAAAAATGGATCCTCTCTTCTCAGACATATAGCATATTAATCATATTGCAAGTAACTTGATTTTGAGGGGAAAAACTGTATGTAGAACATCACCATTTCAGATATTTAAATATATAAAAACTCATTAATTTATGTTACAGAAAATAAGTAAATAAAATAAAGTAAAATAAAATAAGATAATAAAAAATAAATAAAAATAAATAAAAACCAATAAAGCCAATAAAGGATTTTCCTAAATATATTTTCAATTTTGAGAATATATTTTCTCTCAATTTGTCATCTAGACAGCAGGCAGGAATATTAGTCCCATAATTTTTGCCAACATTTAACCATTTGAGCCTAGTTTTATCTACAATTCAACTTTTTTTAGAGCTCAACATCATAAGCTTACATACCTAGATCTGCTTGCAGAACGACTCTCTATAAGCAAGAAATGACAATCTGGAATTGAATTTATATTTAAGTTTACATAGAAATTCAACAATGAAGCTTCAATGCTTGAAATATGAAACATTGTTAGCTACTCTGCATTTGTTGACATGCCAAATATTGTGAATTGTTTACTATTTGCTATTTCCAATTAATTTTCGGGCCACCCTCTTACACGCATATCAACAGAGAGCATCAATTGAGTGCTCTTAATTTTCTTGTAGACTCCTCCAATCAGTCGACGTGACGCACTCGACTTTTAATTAAATATTTATTTTTATGTGGAGACATTAGAAGGTCGAGCAGGGCTGCCGCAGGGCAGGTGCTGGCATCGAGGGGGGAGTGGATAGGGGCGGATGTGGAGCCCTCGGGTGATGACTATTGTAATTATTTGCCAGGACGGAAGTGTTCAGCTCGTGGGAGCGAGCGACTTCTGCCTGTTTAGTCGCTGTGATTAATAATGCTTAATTACAAGTATTTGCGTCGTGGCCCAAGAAACGGGCAAGCGGAACTCACAGCGGGGCTTTACCGTACGGGCTGCACCGGGTGCCGAGAGCCGAGTGCCTGATGCCTGGAGCTGTGCACTGTTCGTTTGATTGATTACAACATTTTGTCGCACTAATGCCGAACGCAACAAGAGTCTTCCACTAAGCCTCTTGATAAGTTTTGCGTACACTTAACTTAACACTAAAGATTAGTAGCGCTTAACGATTGATGTGGTAAGGGGTGGAGGTGGGGGCGGTGGCGTTGCTAGTGCGCTGAGCGCTGAGATTGGCACTCCGCGTGCCTTTGCCAAGCCGCCATCCCCTGCTTGAGGGCTAATCAACAATTAATGAGCAATTAATATGCAATTTAGGGGCGTTGCTTTGTTGGCCAGTATGCGTGTGTGTGTGTGGGTGTGAGTGTATGTAATCAAGCGTGCCTTCAATGCATAAATGAGTACACGCACATGAGAACTGTGCTCCACTCTACGTGCGTTTGTCACGCATTACGTATACGCCATGGAAGCGCTCAATAAAGGAAAAACCTGTTAATAAATTAAGCATCGATCATTCGATCAACGCTATAAATTGAATAACGCTTTTAATTACTATTTACCCAAGCGCATCGCCATAAATTTAATGAAAACAAATGCCTTTAATTGAATTATGAGGATTTGAGACTGGAAATTCTATGAATTTATACAAACAAATACATTGTTAAATTAAGTTGTATCAATTTAAACGGTTTATTGGTTTATTTTTCATTTGCATAAATACATTTTAGGCGCAAAGTAACTTGTTTTATACATATATTTAAAAAAAAATGAATGCCTTTCGATTCAATAAATATAATTTACTGATTGGCCTTCGGCAAATTACAAAATAATAAACGAATCGAATATATATTTGAATGTCTCATTCCCAAAATGAAATTCAGACTGTCATCTCACATACAAATAAATTTGAGGCGAACGCAAACGCCAAATTAGCCTTTCCGCTCTTTGGTCAACTTGCAAACAAATTAAAACAACATTTGCAGCTGCTATTTTCTTTTTTCGTTCTTGTTTTTTTTTTTTCAAATAATTATTATTTTTATTATTATTTCAGCTGTGGTTAAGTTAAAGTTTTGTGTGCCCCGTCTTCATGATAGATTAAGGCAGCAAAGCACGTGCCTCTAAGCTCTAAATAATGGCAATCATAAATCACGGCAATTGGCCTTGTCAAAAGCCGAATATAATAGCTAATGCTAAAGCCACACGCAGCACTTGTCGCTCAGCCCCAGAAGCTTCATATTACCTTTTAAAAAGGCGGAAGAAAAAAATTGGGAACAATATTTTCTACTTGTTGTGGCCCACATCATAAAGTCCTTAGAGGAAATGTCAAGAAGAAAATACTTTGAAGAAAATATATATTCGCTAAAATAAAAGAACACATTTATGTAGCAGAAACTGATTTTATGATATACATGATATACATGACACAAAAGTACAGAGAAATTGAATATAAAATAAATTAAATGCACATGAATGTCCACAAAACAGAATAACTTTGATAGATTATTGTCAAAAAGTTTTTCATACAGAAACAAATGTATTTTTACTAACGAAAATCGAACAAAATAAATAAATTTGTGGGAAAAATGCGATTAAAATTTTTTGAGTTTTGGACTGCTATATTATCTATGACTAAATAAACTTTGAAATGTTTTTTTGCCGAGTGCATAAATAAAATATTAACTTTTTCTCATTAGCCAAATTTTGTTTAGAAATAGAAATGAAAACCAAATTTGAGCTTAAACCTAGCATATTCTGGACCAACTTTCTTGCTCTCATTCGCATCCAGGACAATTTTAGGTTCTTCATATGCTGATCAAATAGTTAACTGAATGCTCACACACATTCGTGCAACACTTCGATGCAATTTTTGCAGTTGAATGAAATCAAGCCGAAGCACGTAGACCCATTAAGCCCCCTTCTACCCCTCTCACTCTATCGTTCTCTCACAGTTGGCCCCATCCACAGCCAACAAAGCCAACAGTTGTGCATAATTAAATGAAAAGAAAAATGCATATTTGTGGCTCGCTACTACAGGCTGTGCATTAATTCGATTGTTTTCTTTTTTGCTTCTTCTGGTTCTTGTATTTCTGTTTTTGTTTATGGGGCAATTAGCAAAGTTTTCTGGCTGGCTGCATGAAAAGCATAAAAAGTGTGGCCAGCCCAACTCTGCGTATGCGTGTATGTGTGTAGGTTGTACATGGACGGGTGTGTAAAGTGCATGCTGCTTGTGCCATGTAATTGAATATTAATCATACGCCAGTGACGACCATAACTCATACGACACGTTGGCCCCGGCAGGTAACGAGACTCGTTCAATGCCATAAAAAAGGGGAATTACTGCTCAATACTTGTGTGGCTTTGTCTGTGTGCGTGTGTGGGCGTGTGCAGCATTCATGTATGCAACAACAAACGCTTAAAAAATATGCAACACCAACAACAACAACAAGAAAAACAACTGCTCGTGTCACTGTAAGGCACAGAGCGAGAGCCATAAATAAATTTGCTCATATTTCAGCACATGAACAATAATTAAATTCGTTCATATATCGCGCACATGGGAGATGCTAACCATGGACCCTCTCCCTGTCCCCTCGTTCTCTCCATTTAACTCCTTCAAATTCCTTTTTTCGCGCTGTTGACATTTATAATGGAAATGAATGCTGATGCTGCAGCTGCAACTGCCACGCCCACCAACGCCACCCACGCACCCAATTAATTGTGCATGTTTTTCTTTTCTTTTTTTATGTCAAAAAAGCGTTTTGCAGTTAAGGCAAAAATTATTGCCACAGAGCCGCGAGCTGAGATTGTCAAGTTTATGGCATCAGCTCGAATATTTTTTATGTTTACCATTTTACAATATTGGAAATTAATTGAGGTCCCATTTGTTGTTGTGCACAAACAAATACATCTATAAATAAATATAAATGTGGCAGATAAATTCAATAAATATGCGGCAAACTTCATTGAGAATCCGCTTTAACGAACTGCAT